CTAAACATGCCAACTTTATTTCTCCGTTCCATGAAAATAGTTCTCGGATTTTCCAATTATTCCTAGTTCCCCCCGAGTTTGAAAATTACCAGTTTTTGGAAGGATTCTAAAATAAATCCCAAGAAAGGGGAACTGTCGATTTAAGCATAACATTTCACACCTTTCGTGTGTATCTTAAAATTGGGAGAGAGGAACTAGACCTACTAAAAAATGTATAGCATTAAACAAGCACAGGTCTCTCCCTTGGACCAGGACCTAAGAACAGAAGTTTAACACTTCAAAGAAATTCCAACCAATTTTCCCCGTGGAGTTCTATTTTAAATGACAGCACCGAACACTCTGTTTGGGCTCTCTGAATGCTAGCTTTGACCTATAGTTATAAATTTGAAATAAATATTCTTAATAGAGAAAAAAGTAACGTTAAAATATGTTCTATCCCATTTGATAATCTTCCTCTATCAACCTACGGAATACTATAAAAATGGAGGGGCTTGATATTCCCGCTGACACACGTGATGTCCCCCAGTTTAACAGAAGGATCAGATAATCTTTTTACTCTATTTCCTTTTTCTTATCCAAGCTCCCTGAGTAACACTAGGGTAACTAAGATGATAAAGCCCTCCGGCGCTGCTACAAAAACTGTAGATTTGTTTGTTTGTTTCCACTCTCTTTCTCGCTAACTCCTTTCTCGCTCCCTCTCAAATAACAGGCACTGGGTTCGTGATTCTTCAGGATTTCAGAGATCTTTGAATTGTGAGATGTATTTCAGCGTTTTAATTTAAAAATCGGAGGGAAAATTACAACTAAGCAGTAGATTTGGGGGAAATTAGGGTCTGGGGTCCTTGATGGGATAGGTTAACACTGGGCACTTTGGATTTTCAGTTATACTCACAAAAGGGATCCTGTTGGGCCAGAAAGCTTGTGAATTTAATGTGTTTGTTGATTGTCCAGTTAAAACTATTTCACAATATCTACTTTGTCTATTTACACCGAAGTTAACACGTACCTCTCTTGAATCCCTATAGTGTGTACATCACTAACACATGCACGTTTGTTTCTCAGCTACACACATACCTCCCCTCTTCACCTGTTTCTTTACAGCCTAGTCCAGTCCCCAAAGCAGAAGCAATCTGCGTTAAAACGAAATGCGTCCGCAGCAAAGTAGTTCCCCTGCCTGTTTTGTAAGAATGAAAGCTGCAGGACAAACTGAAGTGATGCGTTTGCGCCTGTGTGTTTATATAATGAAATACATTTTTATAAAGAAAGTTAATTCAAACTACACGCCGGACACAATAAACTATCATTTTATTTTGATTATAAATAAGGTGACTGTACTTTCCTTAAAATACAAGTACATAATAAAACCTGGTAGAAATGATCTTTGTACAAGTTATTAAAACTGGACACGCCTTAAAACGGTTGCATTTGCTAGCCTGTCAGTGGGTTCCTCATTAGTTTGTTTCTAATACCCTCAGACATTTAACTTCTCCTAAATGCCTTTTGGAATTTCAGTGACTACTTCTGGAATACTTTCCTTTCTCTGTGAATAACTATCTGCTGTGGGCTCCCTACCCTGATATCTGGCTAATCAATTCGGACTCGATTCCTTCATTAGATAAAGCAGGAATATAGTTATCACGTATATTTGCTTATCACTTCTCCAGACCATGGGCCTGATCCTGCTTCCCATTGAAACCAATGGGCCGAACTCCCCATTTACTTCAATGGAAGCAAGGTTTGGGCCTTTTTGCTTTTAGTGTCAGTGTTTATTAGCATCCCCATTTGTTTTCGGGTGTGGGGAGAGAGACCTACGGGGGAAAGCAAAGGGAAATAATAATAATAATAATAATAATAATAATAAAAAGAATATTTGTAATGTGTATAATTTATTAGAAGCTTCTTAGGAACTATATTTAAGCCAAATATCTACATAAGTTTACAACAGAAAGAGGACATGTGCGGAAATAACAAACTGCCAAAGGATTTACACGTTCAATGTCCATAAAAAAGGTCGGGTGTGTGTTTTGGTTTGATTTGGTTGATTGTATTTTTTTTCTTTACAACAAAATATACAGGTTACTAAAAACTATGGGTTTAGTCCAACTTTTGACAGCATTATACAGCTACAGGTTCACATCAAAAGTAAGGGAAGAAAAAAATGCCAAGCTGTGACGAATCAATATCTCCATCCGCGAGCCCTGGCGGCTGGGCTGGGGGAGTAGAAAGGGGGCCTTTCCTTTTCTCTGGGTGACACTAATGTTTTTGTGGGGGGGGGGGCCGGAAGCCTACCCCTCCCCCCCGAAAATCTCTATATTTACATGCAAGGTCTATTCGCTGGCAAAGTGTACATTTGAAATCCAAGCCTTCAGACCATGACCACTCATGGGCTCCATCCTGCAACTGCTCCATGATTTATTTATTTTTTTATTAAATACTCATTTAACAACCTAAAAGTCACTCTCTATCTCTCTCTGTTAGGGGTTCCTCAAAGAACCGCTCGTTAAAAAATAAAAATAAAAAAAATAGTTTGACCAGGACAGAGATTTGTGTGACTGGGCGCATCAGAGCTTTCTTTAAAAAAAAAAAAAAAAAAAAAATCCTTTCACCAGGTCCTACCGTAGAGCAAGGTAGAGCAAGACATGGCGGTGCCATAGTCAGAACTAGAAGAGTTTAAGTGGGACAAACTGGAGACCTGGCTCTGGAGAGACGAAGGGCTGGCTGAGTGCTGTCCCAGGTCTGGAGACTGCCCTGCACTGTTTGGCTGGTGGTTCTGATGCTGTCCAAGGCCGTTGCCATTGGTAGCCACTGTGATTGCTGCCGCTGCCTGCTGCTGATGGGCCTGGAGAGCTGCCGTCGGTGTGTTGGAGCCGGCTTGGCAGGGCTTGCCGTCCTTTACAAGCACGGGCACCGCCACCCTCCTGGGAGACTGCTGCTGTGGGCAAGAGCCGTTGTCCTGTTGCATCTGCTGCTGCGCGGCTTTGTCTTTGGCCTGGCGTTTCATCTTGTAGCGGTGGTTCTGAAACCAGATTTTGACCTGAGTCGGGGTGAGATGGATCATGCTGGCTAAATGCTCTCTCTCCGGAGCCGAGAGGTATTTCTGCTGCTTGAAACGTCTCTCCAGCTCGTAAACCTGGGCCTGGGAGAAAAGGACCCTGCGTTTCCTGCGTGGCGTGCTCTGGAGAGGTGCCATGCTCTTGCTAACGTCTCCCAGCGAGCTCAAGCTTCCCATGCCGCCCATGTTCATTCCAGAAGACGGCCCCATAAAGCGGGATACTAAAATCAAGAAGATCACACATTTTAAAGGACACGGTTAGCGGCACGGGACTGCCTGGGCGAGACACGCTTCTCGACTATTGACTCCAAAGCCAAGATCCTCTCCCCGATTAATAATCACCTTCCCAGTCAAAATCTATTCCAACCCACCTAAGCCGGTTGCACTGGTAGTAGCCCACCGCCGAGCCAGGCAGGGCTGTAGACCGCCGCACGCTGTGTCACTAGCGGGGAAACAGTTTGATAACGATTTACGCTTCTCCCCCGTGCTATTCCAAACACTTAGGGGTCATACGGAGCAAAACCTTCACCAATAACTGAGTATGTGCAAACACGGACTATCCGAGAGCTGGAACATAGCGAAGAGAACGAAACAAAAGCAGTGCTAGGAACATACAATAGCTAGTGCAAGTTTCCATCTTTAAACGGGTCTCACACCCCTTTCCAACCACTGTCCAAAAGAAGGAAACATCTCGCTCCGTATAGCCGTATTAAAGGAATACACGTGAGTTCCCCCTTCCACCACCTTCTGTGTTAAGCAGGCATGTGGGGGGCTGAGACACGACAGGTCAATAAGTAGCTTGATGTGCCCATTTAGTTGCGAATTATTCTGAATTTAGGTTGGAAGGTGTCTGAATTTATTTAAACGAGTCCCTTGCCCTGATGACAATGTTTGCCGCGTTTCCGTTCTCTGTCGCCCTTATCTGCACGGTTGTTTATTGCAGGAGGGTTGGGGAGAGGGACCCCCACCCCCAGGACACAGCCACCCAAATGTTTCCTCGCCTACAGTGAAATCGCTCCCATCGTGGGGCATTTTCCCCATCGGTTCTCCTTCGGCAATGGAGCGCTGGCTCACTGGGACCAGACAACACCTTCCGTCTCAGCGAAGCAACCCACAAGCCGGGGGTGAAATGGAAAGCGAGAGACAGGGGATACCGAGAAAAAGCTAAAACAAGACAGGAGCCTGGGAAGCCGGGGGAAAAACATACCGATCGTTATCAATCCTAGACAGCCCTGCCGCGATCCAGCTCTTTGAGCTGACCTGGTTTCGACTTCAAGCCACTTTCCCCCCTTGTCTTTCGCCCCCACCCCCACCCCGCTCCAAAACCCGCACTGTACCGCAACCGACATGGTTTCTCCAAGTCGCTCATTGGAAAGGCTTCTTCCCAGAGCTATGCGTAAAGTTTTCCCCGCTGGCTACGAGGCTCACTTACTTGTAGAGAAACGGGGGTCCGGGTTGGCCCCGTACCATCCTGTGGCTGAAGCACTGTTCCGCATGGTCTCCTGGTAAGGTGGAAGCTCGCCCATGTTGCCTAGGTTGCCGTTGCAGTAGCCCCCCATAGTGGTATGGGAGAGTTGGGGGACGCCTGCCGCTGTCATATGGTAGGCAGCAGTCACTGTCCCGTTGTGGCCCATGGGGTGCTGCTGCATTGCTGGCTGAGAAACCTGAGACTGCCTGTAGGCTGCCAAGGGAGCCCCCAAGTTGCTACCCTCCATGCCCACTTTCTTGTAGCTTTCCTCCAAAGGACTCAAGATGTCAGACACTGAGAAAGGAGTCGTATGCTTTGGGCTCATCGACATGATTCGGCGGCTGGAAAAAAAAGGGGGAAGGGGAGGCCAATCTTTTTTGCCAAATATTCTGGTGTTGCCTTAACGCCGATCTTGTTGGATGTACACGTAACCGAGTGGACGAAGTCCGCCTTAATTGGATTGAGTGGAGGCTCAGGGCTGCCTTTCGTTTGTTTTAGCCAGACGCCAGGTTTTAGGCTGCCACCAGAGGCGGGGCATAGGCACTAAAGCAACAAGACAATAGAAGCCTACATCTTGCCCAAGATAATTAGCTTACATGCTGATGACAAGGTAAACACCTTTAAGTTTTACTTGTCAGGATTTTTTATGTATTTTTTGAAAGACCCCGTGAGCACAAGTAATTTTATTTTATTCTTCTGGGGTGGCAGCATTATGGGTGGGGAATTTCATGTGATTTATAAAGACAAATTTGCTGAGTTAAAGAGAAATGATTTGCAATTCTATTCCGACGCCTAACATTATAGCCTCAGCCTTTGTGAGGGATGGCTAGAGAGAGTTTAACATTATGGAACAAAGGGATTTATTTCCCCTCGGTCCCCCCCCCCCTTCCCCACTAAGTTCGAGTTTAAAGAAACATTGAAGGGAGAAATCTCTCCTAGAATAGTTTGAGGAGCTATCGTTCATATCTGAGGCACCGTTTCCAACACTGGGCATTGCACAATACCAAGGGTCCTAGAGATGCCCAAAAGATTGTCTGGTAGAAAAGCAGTGAACAGCACCTACATTTTAACAACGTTGCGGAGGAGGTTTCTCTATAGCATATATCATAATAAGTCTTCAAATGCAACGCCACAGTCAGCGTCTGGTTCCTGTACATTAAATCATCAGATCGTTTTGCCTAGCTTTTACTTTGAAGAGAGATGGAAGCTTGCTTGCAAATATGTAAAGTAATAATAGGTGATAGATTGTTGAAAAATATCTTAAAACAAAATGTCATTTGTCATTTTCTAGTAGGAGCAGTGTCAGAGGCTTCCTATGGCACCGCTTTAAAGATGGTTTCTAAGGTTATTTATGAATCAAGGAAGTTAGGGATGGAAAAGACCTATTTGGTCATCTGGTCCATCATCCTGCCAATGAAGGTTTGGTTCCCTGAATTTTGTGATATTTTTCCCAGTCGAGTTTTAAGTAAATGTAGAGTCCATTCATATTAATACATATATATCTCTAATAGTTAATGTGACTCAGACAAAGCCAAGACTTTGAAGGAATCTTCCAACTTTTACAGTAACTACAAATCATACATATCAGTGTCTCTCCTGAAGGCAACGAAAAACCTTCTATGAATTTTAACGTACTGGCTCAAAGGATTGGGAACTAATTTAATAAAGGGATTATCTGAATATTAAGAAAATTGCAGCAAAAGGTGCAGTTAACCTAGTGACTTTAAAGCATCAAATAACTATTTAATAATTGCACTTGTAAATATGTTTGTACTCTGCTTGTTCCTGCTTAAAAATGCAAAAGTGCACTTGCTACCCGGGAATAACTAAATATCTTTGTCTAAAGTGGCAGCATAAATGGCCAGTCGCTTTGTGACTGTGCTTGATATTAGACATAAGGATCATTTTACTTCAATTGGGAGGCTCTCATTCAGTAGGCAAGAAACGGTTTAGGAGAAAGTAGGTTCCCGTATGAGAATTAACACCCTTCAAGTATAAGCCTGCGCCTTGATTATACTTTAGAGCTCTGCAAGACGTGAGCTTTTCCACACAAATATAATCGGTGGAACTTTTTTTCAATCAGGCCCTCAGTTCCTCTGAATCAGTTCAACTGCCTCTTTAGGCACCAGGTTATCTCCAGCCTTAATACCGAAAAGGGGGTTTGTTGTGAGTCTCTTGTGTCGCCTAAAGCACATCTTAATCAGGGAAGGACAACTTTTGGTTAGAAATGGGTCTGCTTTGGAGACGTCCTGTTTTCTTGTCTTTCACTCGTCTTTCTAATTAGGTGGAACATTTCCTTCATTGGCTTTGCCAAGGGATAATTGCTTTAATCTGTCATTTTTTACACATTTATTTCAGTGCTTTCGTTGATGAGAATATTCGGTTAAAAATTCGAAGCTTTTTTGCGGATTTTCCACATAAATCTCGTGCGTATTTTATTACCTTAGCAAAGGAACAGGACATAAAAGTATATGGAAAAATACAAATTCTGCAGCACAAACAGGCAAGAAAAATATATTTTTGAAAGGAGTTTACATTACATTATACCTAATTCCAAAACCACTCAATTATTAATCTCAGTTTAATTATTGCAAAAAGTTATTGTTGGTGGTAGGGAAAAGGGATGTTTTCTATTCAGGATATTAGCTATGCATATGACACGTCTAAAAATCCTCCGTATTTTGCCTTTCCTACGAAATATCACTGGAACCTGTATCTTTCTGAGTAATGTCTAATTGCCCGTTTAATATAGCGCGGGCTTCCTATTTGACGATAATTCTGCACATACACTAGAGTAGTGGGTCTTTGTGCAGATGTGCCTTTTTAATGTGTTGAAATTATTTCCTTTTCAAAAGTTTTGTGGTTAATCATTCTTATTTGTCCCCCTGTTCTAACGAATGCATATCAAATGGCCTCCAAATATTCCTCAATTAGATTAACCCGATCAGTGCGGAGGTGGATTGTGCTGGATCCTGGAAAGGAAAGTTGATGTGATTGTTATATCTGTCCTGCGTCTCTGATATGTATGAAGGTAAAACTCGCTTTTTCTCATTGTAATTTGGCTTACACACACACACACACACGCACACGGATTGTTTATTGCAAATCATATGACTTGCATACACTTTTTAGCAAAATGAGTTATCCTAGTGGAATGCTATCACTGAGCCACCCAGGTTAATTACAGCAGGGTAGTTCAGTCTGCTATGCAACTATCAGGAAAGTTTGTTTTTGTTTTTAAACTGCCTTTCCGACTTTGTTTTGGGAGAGCTGCCTTCAGAGCAATTGAAGTCCAGCCTTTCCGAACTCCCTGGTTTGATTCTACCTAACTGCCTGGCAGCGGTGTGTTCTTTTACCTGGTGCGGCTGTCTACTAAAGCGCTTGAGTTAAAAGGAAATGCTAAGGAGGAGGAGGAGGAAGAAGAAAGATGAACTTCATTTCGCCTGTTGGAAGCATATTCATGAGAATGCCACCGTCTGCACCCTATGTCTGCAGAATGCTTTATTCTCTTCTCTGCGGCTACACGGACGGTTCTTCAATAGCTTGTGACCCCACACAATCCGTTTGATAACACTCAGGATGTGGAAGAATGGGAGACTTCGTCAAACAAATGGTGCCAATCCCAATGGAAACGGTGCCACCATAACCACAGCGCCTTTCCTCATCAGCTGGATTGCGGGGGCTGGGAACTCAAGGAGCAGCTTTTTAAAGCGTGTCCAGGGCTCTTCAAATTTAACAGTGTCTTTTTAAATATGTGCTAGCATGCCTCCCAAATGGGAATCAGATGAGCTACTCTAGGCAGATTCAACCCAGGGGCTAGAGAAAAGCAGAATTTCCATACATTTCTCTGCATGGGAAGGGGAAAGATTTCTGCGCGTTTCGGCGTCTGGTTTAACTGGTTTAACGTTGTTTGATGTCAAATCAAGAAGGGTGTATTTCACTTTTTTAACATTTAAAACAAAAATGTATCGCTCTGCAGATGTTTTTCATGTGCAAGCGGAGCCAAGGTAGAAGCAGCGAAAACTAAGGAGCCGATTCAGCAAAGCACTCGTTTCAATGGGACTCCTCCTGTGCTCAACCTTAGGCACGTGCTCAAACGCTTTGGTGGATCAGGCTCAAACGAGTACCACACTTACAACAAAAGGGTGTCGAACAATTTCCAGACAGGGTGCTTGTTTCTTCACAACGGGTTTTGAAATCATAACCTGAAAAAGCCAAAGGCGCCTCCTTAAGTCCCGGCTGTGTAGGCTCCACAAAATTGCTGGCTGTGTAAGGTCGGTACAATTTACCCTGTGATTTACAAAGCACCAGACACACTTTATCCAATTTCCCGACCTGTTCGCGAATGATAGATGTCAGTGTCTTACGCGCACGCCGTCTGTGAAGTTTCCATTGCCTTTGGGAGAGAGGAGAGGCGCTTTACGTTTTTCAGTTAGAGCGAGATTCATTGCTTAGACGTGGTTAACTTTGGTGGGATAGTCCCAAGGCAATGCCCGAGCAAGTAGAACAGTGAGTTTTGCCTTATAGGTAACATTCTATAAGAAGAATAAAAAATAATTACTCTTAGAGCATAGAGAGTGGGTGGAAACACGAAACCACTGCCAACATAAGGCGCTGTGCGGTGTAATGGAATGTTACGTTATCTATCTGAGGATCATTACAATGTAGTGTTACCTTTCGCGCTAATAATGTAGTACCATTAAACGAGCTTTGTTTAGTTTAAAAGAGTTAATAACAAAGGTAAGATTCAGATCCAGTCTTTAGAGGCGACTTCCTATTAATATAGTGCCTGTTCATTGAATAACCCGCTTCTCCTCCCTCAGCCCAGATGTCTGAGCAAATTAAATCTGGACAGCAGAAACAAAAGAAACCGTAATAGAGCGGTTTAAACAGTCTAACTGAACACTGCTAGAACACTTTAACACACGTTGCAGTCCGCTACTCCTGAAGGGTAAGATGAATGGGTGTCCGGGTAAGTAAAGGTTATTTTCCACAAACACACCTTGTAAATACTCCCTTGAAATCTATTGCCCTGGTGGGAGGAACTGCGGTTAGGAATCGTCGGAAAAATCTACATCTTTCCCTCTGTCGAAGATGCTCACTCCACTGGTTACTTCAATGGGACCTGAGAAAGTCTGGTGGGTTGAAGTGAATGAGTCCACATTTCCCCGGTTTTGAGTTCTGAGGAAATGAAAGGGAAACCCTCACTTCATCGTCTCAGGAGCTGAGGATGTGTATGAAAATGAGCCTTTTTGAGCCGGGACTCTATAGTGCCTCTTGGGTGCAGGTCCCGAAGATAACCTGGGGCTTTCCAAGAGCTGCTCTGGCCAAACGGAGAGTCCCCTTTAGCTCATCTTGCACCGCGCTCTCGGTGTTTGGTACAGAATTCCACGAGCTCCCCACCTCGGCCTCGTAACACTTATCCTATAATAAAGTGCTCATCCTCTGCCCCAAAGCCCATGTCATTGGCTTTGTCATTTGCCCAGAGACCGCTGTACGGGACATTTATTTTATGCAGAGAGCAACATTTATAGGCGAGAGTCTCCTCTGTTCTAGGGCAGATTTGGCCAGGGTGCTGGTGCCGCATTGCTGTGCCGTTATGGATTGTCCCCGGGAGACACTGACCTCCGCTTTACCTAAAACGCACTTTGCTGAGAGGGGGAGAACTTCACGCGATGAGGGGGGAAGGGAGAAATGCCAACCCAGAATCAGGGGCTGAGTGGAAGCCCCTTGCAGTCTGGACAGTCTGTTGTTTATGGATAGCTTTGGCACATTAGGATCCGAGGGGGATTATTACCCTAGGGGAGGGGGCTGTTGCCAGCATTTGTGAAGGATTTTATTTTAAAAAAAACCCCACACTATATTTAAGACTCATCTCAGAAAAAAACAATCAGTATTTCCCCCAATCCTACAACTGCCACCCTAAGCTATTTCCACGCTAATCATTGCAAATGCCAGCAATTCTGGGGAGCCATCCTGCAGCCCCTAATCTGGAGTAGTATATAGCTTGAGCAGAGAGTGAAGGAGAGTCTCTCCCCCTTCCCCCCCCCCCCCGCCGAACAGTAATGTTAATTAGATTTGTTAGGCCACTAAACATTTTAGAGCCGCGGTGGATTAAAACTCTGGGGTACAAAACCCCCCAGGCCCGCTGGGACAAAGCTCCCAAATGGATTATGTTTCAGCAGTTAGGTTTAGGATGAAAACCAAGGGAGAAAGTTGCCAGTAGGTATATATTTGCTTTTAGAAGTGAGTGAATGAAAGAGAGAAGGCGCAGGACCAAAATGATTTACTTGTGTATTTGTGTGTCTGTTTTTTGGTTACAGTTCTCCACCGATTTTAATTAAGCTTGTGAATATGGAGGGCAGTGGGGGAGGGGAAAAGAGACCTTGCCCGTTTGACTGTTTCTTCCCCCAAGACTCAGAGGTTAAACTTATTCGCCTTGCTCCGGCAAATAGTCCTATTGGTTACATATAATGTGAGCAAGTTTTGATTTTATACTTTAAAAATATATTTTCTTCTCTTCAGTTACCGAAAGTATTTGACTTCAAATATGATTACGTTTAAAAACTAGACAATGCGTTCTGCATTTATTGTACGGATGCTGAGGTTGAAAAGTCTGTATATTAACAGAAAGTGCCTTCCTTGTACCTCCAACAACACCTATTTAAAACGGAAAGAATGAAAACTGTCTGTTGTCCCTGGGCGCTGTACAATTTCCGCTTCGCACTTTACTCAGCTGGGACAACGCAAACGACTTCTTACTTTCAGTCAGATGTCACTGTTCACTATTATTTGTGTGTTGTGCTAATTTCGCTCCCCAGCTGGCGTGCACTAGCTGGCTGCTGCAATGGCTGGGTGGCAGGCACTCTCAGAAACGGGAATGTTTGATCATTCAGAAAAGTCTCTTTCCATTGACATTTTATAATCCGATAATAGGAATATTTCTATTGATCTTGTGGTTGCGGAAATTGATTTTTTTTTGTAACACAAACTAAAACGGAGGCCAAAATAGACCTGCCAATGTTCCTTCAAACACCTGTCATTTAGGTATTGTGATACACCTTCAGAGCTGTTGCCTGCTGACTTATCATCACACTGAACTCCTTGCTTTGTTTCAAAGAACGCTTCTAGCTAAAGCATTAATTACATTTATCAGATCTGCGACTCCCCACCAATCTTACATGGATCCCCTGCAAAACTTGTCATCTCAGACTAAAAGAATGCTGGAGCCGACCAAAGGACTCATTCACTGTTGCCGTGTTATAATTTCCTTCTGAACAATCAAGCAAAAGCTCTCCATTAATTTGCCCTGAATTCTTCCCTGCCATCCCCAGCAAAGAGTTGAGAACCGCCTCACTCCGGAGACAGGAAGGCAGAGACCTAGCTTGACCGTTACTCAAATACATTTCATTGCATAGGTGCTGGAACTAGGGGGCACTGCGGTACACTCTGGCTTGAAGTGGTTTCCGTTATATACGGAATTTACAGTTTGGTTCAATGGCTCTCAGCACCCCCCACCAGAAAAATTGTTGCAGCGCCCCTGTTTCATTGAGGATGATTTTTTATTTAAATTCTCCTTAAACAAATTGTGGCTCAGGATAAAAACCGTGAAGCAATTTTGACCAGTTCTTATGTATCATGATAATAGTCTACACTCTGCATTGCTCCATCTGGATATTTCTCCAGATCTATAGGGAAGGATTAGCTCCTTTTAATTTGGTTGGCCTTCATTTTCTATTTTCAACTCTCCTTCATTCAAATGGCTCAGTTTCCAAACCAGAGATAAGTCTTTTCCTCCCCTGAAAAGTAGCCTGTACATAAAATATCTGGTCTTTTCCTCCCCTGAAAAATATCAGGGATCAAGAGAAGGAGGAGGTTGTTAATCTATGACCATTTATACTTTGTTTCCAATGTTCATTTCCGCAAACCAGTAAAATATTCTCAAAATGTGCTCTTGGTAAATCCATGTGGCAAAAATATACTGTTTAAAACCTCTCCTGCCTAGGAGTGGATTTCCTTGTTTTCCCCTTATTTCCCACCATGACATGACAGAATGCATCTCCCCCTCCCTAAGTGGTAGGCCTTATAGCACTTTTCACAGTAGTCCTTACCAGTGGGATAAGGCTTGGTAAGGAATGAGACCTGCCTGAGTCACTGCCTATACCCACTGAGTTGGCAATGTGGGCCACTATGCTGGGGGCTTATTACTCAAGTGAGAATTAATACAAAAAAAGCTTTTTTGTTTAGTTTTCCTGTTTCGAAAATATCATGTTTGAATGTACATATGATATAATCAGAGACAGCCATATGCTAGGATCTTCTGCTGTTCAGTTAATGGTGAAGTGGGAGCTGGTGGTCTCATGGGCAAACAGGCCATTTCAGAGACCCAGAAGGTCTTTTGGGGACGCTTCAGAGGTCCTCTTTCACTTGAAGAGGTCCTCTCTCCTGGAAAGATTATGCCCTCGCTCTTGCTAGAAGAACTGATGGGTACTGTTCAAAACTTATGTAAAGTGCTTCCGTAAAAGGAATCTGTTTGCAGTGTCCAGAAAGAATGAAATTTTTTTGGTTCTACTACCTGACCCCTAAACAATGCTACATATTCTTGAGAGCCATCTCCTGGCACATTTTCTGTTAACTGACTATTGATGTATAGAGAGAGACACAACACTCTGGTAACAAATAAATTCCTCTTTATAGAAGTTCAACTGCTTGTACACTAATGGCCCTGTTTTTAAGTCCCAGCGTTCCAAGGGTTTATACCATACAATATATTTTCAAGATTATTCTTCTATTGATATGTGATGATATCATATGGCTAATTAAATAATGCTAAAGGGACCTACATGTGGTCAAGTCTCTGCAAGCTTATTTGAGAGCAGAGCCTCTTTAGTCTATACTATAAATAGAGGTGGGTGAATTGTAAAATATGACCCTTCCAGCTTCTCTCAGGAGTACCCTGTAATAGGGATCTACTCTAGGGGTAATATGGTGGCCATGTTTCTCTGTTACTCTGCGTATCCTCCAACATCCTAGCACAAGCATTAACATTTTCCAGTGGCTAACATTTAGTTAATCAGAGCAAATTTGTAAAGTGGTTGCATGACTCAAATATACTGGATCTGCTGGATTGTTGTTCCTGTCAGATAGGAAGAAGAATATGGCCCACTGAACAGAATTTTGAAGGACAGGCCTGCTCCCAAAGCAGGTTATTTATAGTAGTTCGTCTTGTCTCCTCTTAATCTCTCTTCTTAGTAAATCAAGTCATTTTAAGCAGTAACCTCTTAACGTTGTATAATCTTGGTATGAGCTCATTTCCGTGAGTTCTTCTCCCTGTGGGCAACTTCCAAAAACCCTACTATAGAGGCATTTTATGATTAGTTTTGGATTCTCTGTGGAAGGCTGTCCTGAAGATTGATTTTCTGCTAAGTCACTATGTATAGCTTTTTCCTGCTTGTATGTCTCAGAAGTTTAATTCATTGAGATTGTTATAAGTTATATTCTATATTGTAGAATTTTTAGAAAGATCTCACCTCTCTCTCCAAATACCACCCTTGTTTTGTTTTCTCATTTTAAAACAGGAAATTCATTGCAAAAACAATATTAGCATGATTCATATTGAGTAAAAAATAAATGTTAAATACTGAGTTGGGGGGCCAGTGGGATTGTTTGAGGAGAGCATGATGAATAAGGATGGAGACATGGATTCCAGAATTATGATGTTTTATTTTTAAAATGTCCATGACGTTTGACGTTTTAGAGTTTCATTGTGCTAGTAGTGAGGGAGGGAATAGGTGGCATAATGGAATGGATGCCAGTCTGATGAACTTTGGTTAGAAATCCTGGGTAGAGTTTTAGGGTGCAGAGCAGACATTGTCAACAAAGAAAGCAACTCCTTCTGTGGGGTTTTAATAGAATAAAGATTTAGGTCTAAAATCACTGGTAGACTTTGGCTTCTTTGCGCATATCCAATGACAGAAAACAGCCATAAACCTGGCTTAACTGGCTGATAAACCTGGGTTTACAGCTGCTTTGCATTGTCAAAGTGGTTCAAAGTATTCTAGAGTGTTTTGGTGAATCTGCCGTTTCATGTCTTAATTTATTTCCTGTTGTCTTCTCTATCTCATACCACAAGGACATCACTTCTCACAGATGGAGAGTTTGGAGAGGAAGGAGTGGGGGAATGTGGTCAGACTCAAAGATTTGGACAGGTGGAGTCAGACTGGAGCTCTACCCAATAGACCTCCAAGGTAGTACTTGGCAACTAGCTGAAAGAAAAGAAGAGATGGCAATTTTCATAATTTTTGCCACACTTTCAATGACTTGTGACACTGTTACCCTAGTTCCTCTACATTATTCAAAATTTACCATGAAAATAGGGAGAGACGAGATCAAAGACAATATAGGAGGAAGTGAAAACAGAAAATCCAGGCAGTAGAGACACAAGAACAGAATGACAAAGAAAATTTATTCCTTGAGACACAGTGCCTCTTAATGGACTCTGACAAGAAACACTGCCACCAGGAATGAAGGCGTTGGAGAATGACAAGAGTGGTGGGAGAAAATCAATTGATTTGACCTAAGGTAAGGGGTAAAAGTGGGATGCTGTCCTGCTTCAACATATCTCTGAAATGAACCCTGGTCTCTTTTCCCCTGTTTCTATACATAAACTGAACTAGCAACTCCTTTCTTGGTCTTTGTTGTCACACTGGTATCCACCCTTGTTCCTCTGTTTATTCCATTGTCTCTGCCCACTTTGTTCTTCTCTCTGTCTCTAAATTTTTCTTCATTCTTTATATCTCCATGTTCTGTTTTTCCTTCATCCCTCTTTTCTATTGTCTTCTCACCTCTTTCCCTTCCTCTTTGTCCCTTTCTGTGGTTTGTGTTAGTCCCATCTGCTCCATTCTCTGTTGTTTTTCTCTTCCACAGATTTTCCGCCTCTTCATGGTTGGTACTGCCTTCTCCCCTGCCCCTGTTGAATCTTCTCCCTTTCCCCCTTCCTGATCACTCTCTCAGTTAGCTGGTTGCAGGCCAACACTGTGAGAATCCAGCACCCATTATGAAATTGGCATATATTACATTACAGTGTTAGTGTGACATTGCACTTGGAGCCTTTAGGTTTGAATAAATTAGAAATTCAGGGGTTGCAAATCCAGTGAACTGAACCAACTAGTTCTGATTTCCTGAAACAGTGCTGGTAGGTTTAGCTACATTCCACTCACATAGGTAGGTAGGTACTAGTCATAAGCAAAAGTACACATGCCATTTAACTAGCTGTGGCCTTCAGTTTTTTTTCCAGTATCTTGTAATATAGTACACATTATATTCATCCACCTGGGGGCCCATCCTACAATAGCACATAATCCATAATTTATGAGCCAGTTTTGGTTATTTTGTGTATCCAATCAATTTCTGCATATACGGTGTTTGTTTTTATTTCTTGGCTATTTCTACTGGCTTGGTGTTGAGTTAAGTAATTGACAGAAAAACAAATTAATCTGTTTCCACCAAAGAACTAGGGGAACTAGGAAAGCTCCATTTGCTAAACACTACTTGCTGCCATCTATAACTTTGTAAAAAAGGAAACTTGTGCTCACGGTACCTGTTTGGGATATACCAGCTACCTTCCTGGTTAGAAATCAGCACTGATGATGTCAGTTGTCCTCAGTTTCAGTAGATAGATTTGGAAGACCAAAACAGCTTTTCATACCTAGAGAATACAGACTTCCAATTAGCTAAAAATTAAAGGCCGATATTTTCAAATGCACATGCCTGAAGTTAGACATCCCCATCTGTCTTTAGGCACCTGAATGAATGTTGTCTGACTTTCAGAGGTGCAAGCACCAGCTGTTCTGAAGAGAGAGAATACTGAAGGGAAAAGAGATACAGTGAAGACCAAGGTAGAATCAGAAAAGTGGTTTGAAGAGAAAGGAGAGATGTCTGTCTGTCTTATTTTTGTAGGCATTTGTGCCATGCTTATTACTAGGGTGGGTGAGCATGGTGTCTGAGATGTAAGAAGAATGGACAGAGAAAAAAATGAAGTGAACATTTAAAAAAGTATTCTACTGAAAAAATGAACTAACTGAACTCAGTCACTGAGAAGATGAAGAAAACATACCAAAATAGAGTACTATGAAGTGAAATTCCAGGTGTGTACCCACATAAATGGAAGCTGGAGCAAATGTTCAGATAAATCCCTGGGAAGAGAAATCACCTAATATTGCAGAACTCTGTTGGAAAGCCTATTTCCTTCTGGGGCCCCAAGACAAGGAGTTAGATTTTTTTTTCTTAGTCAAAGTACAGTTCTATTCTGAAAAATAATTAATAATAATTATTATAATAAAATAATAATAAATTATTAATAATAAAATAATAATAAATTATAATTAATTTTATAAAATAATAAATTAATTTTATAAAATAATTATAATAATAAGAATAATTCCAAGTAGAATAGCACTTTAGAGTTGTGGGGGGAAATCCATTAGAATGACAACATGCCTTCATTGACAGGTATATTTTTTGTACACCCAGATAGTAGTCATTATTAGCATTCCAGTCCAAAAAGGCTCCATGTTGCAGGACTACCTTTTTAATTACTTTGGATGTTGGAGATAATAAAATGAAAAATTTCACTCAGCTTTGCCCTGTAATAAATGAAAGCATGTTATATGTATTCAAAAAAAGCGAATTGTATAGTTGGGTTCATTCAGGTTACAAGTTCAGTGTACAGAGTAGCGGCCGTGTTAGTCTGTATTCGAAATTCTTATCCTGAAGAAGGTTAGCTATCTTTATAGAGCTAGTTTACCCATTGTAATAGCCCATTAATGTATTTTTTTCCTTTTGTATAGTTTTTAAGTTTCGTTATCTTGTAATTACCTGCTTCCCCACTATTTTATGTATCTTGCTTGTTTCAGATTCCAGGCAATGAAGGCTGCTGAGGTAATACAATGAGATACTGTCCTGCATTGGAGTATGGAAGGACAAGATTGACTGCCACCTACATCAGTAATTATATATGCATTGGTTTCCACAGCTGGATCCAGAATAAATAATTTACAACATTACCTTGGAATAAAGTTGTCTTCAGAAGCAAGCAAGTACCTTAGGTGAACTTGTTTATGTATTATCACTGGATGAACAGATTGGGTAGAAACCTGAGCTAATGGTGCTTATGTCTGTTGAGCCAGATTTGATCATTGTACAGTACCTTGTGTCAAGTCAAGCTGCACTTGGCACAGGGCCTAACGAGAGGGAAGGTTTCTCTAAGCCCCTTTTCCACTCCCCTGATCCTGCAGCTGGTTCAGCCTCTGGCATAACTTTGGGAGGGTAGAGATGGCTGTGCCAGCTGTATGGCACCCAGTGATTTCCCTACATGAGAGGAATCCCTAGCAGCCCCATTAATGCAGATTTCCAGTTTCTTTGCCAAGTAGTCAGATGGAGGAGGACCAAGGATTTGGCCCATTGTGAGTTATAATAATGTATAACAATAGTACTTTTCACTTACACATCACCTTCTATTCCAGGATCTGAGAGCACTTTACGAATATTAATGAATTTAGTTTCACAGCACCCCTGTGAGGTAGCGATATAAGTGACTTGCCCAAGGTCATATGAGAAATATGTGGGAGAGGAATAGAGTAAATCCTGGTCTCTCAAGTATTGCTCCTATCTCTTAACCATGAGATCTTCCCTCCCCCAAAGTTCAGTTTGGTTGACCCCCTTCAAATGTTTGTATTAAGACTTATGTAGGTCAGGTCTCATTTTTCTAGGGCTCCCCTCTGAAAACAGATATTTTGTTGAAGGATGAATAAGTTTATGCCCTTTAGGGGCAAGACTTTCCCCTGCCTATTTGGTTGCATGTACTCCCTTAACAGCAGAGCCAGTGCAGTTTTACTGCCTATGGAAGCAGGATTTGGCAGGGTGCAATGTGGATAGAGAGTGCAACTCCATGTTACATACAGATCAGTCTCTGAGAGCCACCTGCCTGCAGTGCATAGGGGGCTGATGGAAAAGGGACATAGGTGAGAAGGGGCAGGGTGAGCCAAGGGATCCACATCTGCATGAATCTTCCCATCCTCCTTCCCACGGAGGCTGCTTATATGGCTGGGGAACCTACTCCAACATTAGCATAGTCTTCACAGGATTACTATGAAGCCACATCTTGGCCTGCAGAGAAGATTTGCCTTCCCCTACACTCTGTCCAGGGCTTAGCTAGAACGGGCAATGGGCAGGGCATGTGACTTCAAAAAAGCAAGATTTGGCACCCAGCCTCGGATACTTGCCCTGAAAAAAACCCATAATGTATTCATATGTTTTTTTTTAAATGCATTTTGGTTCTGTTATAATAAAATGTGTATTTGTGGAATACGAATGCTCCATTCTGTTAGGAACCAACAACAGTGCCACCCAGAAACATCACATTGAGGTAGCAGACAAATATTACATACATCCCCACCCCACCTCACTACAAAAGAAACATGCCGTAGAGGATCATACACAACCATGAATTAGAATGATCAGCCATATCAGACAAATACAGTCCGGACAAGACAAAATGGGTGAGAAAGAAGATTGGAAGACTTTACCAGTTAGTTGCTTGAGAACTCTGACTTCTGGAGGAACTGTTCAATGAACTTTTTATACAATGCTTTCTGTGACTTGTTCCTTCCAAAGGACGACACCTAGCTGAACATGCAGTCCTTTGAGTTGATTTCTCTCATTTTTCCTTGTCTGAATTATTCATCGAACACCCTGTATTTATTGCAAATGGCCATAAACAAATGACTTTCCCTTTGTCTGTCTTTACTCATGATTTCTTTATGCAGGTTGAAAATATTTCCCTATGTTTATTTATTTTGCTTTTCTTTATATCCAATTAAACTGTTTTCGTGATGGCTCAGAGATGAAAATGGCAGTGCCTGTCTTGCATGCAGCTCTGTTCCTGTTCAGTTTCATTTCCCTCAGGGTCACTGATGGGTTATGGTGCACAGTAATGTCCCCGATGAGGTGTTGTTTCCATTAGCTTTCCCCTCCAGAGGTGGGCAGAGGTCTGAATTCTTATGTATGATTTGTTTTCTTGGCTACCTAGGAAATAATGTTCAGTTTTCAGCCCTCTTCTGCGCAGATGGTGAACTCACTATTTGCAAGAATTGCTTCCTTTCCTTTTAAAGAGACTGCTGTGACGCCTATTTAAAAGAAAGCACTGTGGTCTGGTGGATGATTTTTCTAATTAGTATTCAATACTGTTTATCCTCCAAAAGACAATGCATTTATGTGTATTTATACCTCTTATTAAGAAAATAAGAAAAAATTAATAAGAAAATAAGAACAGCATTACTGAGTCAGACCAATGGCCCATTTAGCTCAGTATCCTGTCTTCCAACAGTGCTTTGTACCAGATGCTTCAGAGGTAATTAACAGAACAGGGCAATTTATCTAGTGATCCATCCCCTGTAGTCCAGCCTCAGCTTCTGGCAGTCAGAGGTTTAGGGATACCTAGAGCATGGGGTTGCATCCCTGACCATCTAGGCTAAAAGCCATTGATGGCCCCTATCCCCCATGAACTTATCTAATTCTTTTTTGAACCCAGAAATATGTCTGGCCTTTTCAACATGCCCTGGCAATGAGTTCCACAGGTTGACCGTGCATTGTGTGAAGAAGTACTTCTTTGTGTTTGTTTTAAACCTGCTGCCTATTAATTTCATTGTGTGATGTGAAGGGGTAAATAACACTTCCCTGTTCACTTTCTCTACCAATCATGATTTTAAAGATCTCTATTATATCCCCCCTTAGTCATCTTTTTTCTAAGCTGAACAGTCCCAGTCTTTTTACATTTCTCCTCGTATGGAAGCTGGTCCATGCTCCTAATAATTTTTATTGTCCTTCTCTGTACTTTGAGCAGATGTTTTCTGAGAACTAACCACAATGACTCCAAGATCTTTCTTGAGTAGTAACAGCTAATTTAGGCCCCATGATTTTATATGTACAGTTGGGGTTATGTTTTCCAATGTACATTACTTTGCATTTATTGAATTTCATCTGCCTTTTGTTGCCCACTCACTCAGTTTTGTGAGCTGTCTCTGTAACTCTTCACAGTCAGCTTCGGACTTAAATTACTCAAGATAGTTTGTATCAGCTGCAAACATTGCCACATCACTGTTTACCCCTTTGTGCAGATCATTTGTGAATATGTTGAACAGCACTGGTCCAAGTACAGATCCTTGGGGGGACTCACTATTTAGCTTTCTCCACTGTGAAAACTGACTATTTATTCCTGCCTTTTGCTTTCTATCTTTTAACCAGTTACTGATCCATGAGAGAACCTTCCCTCTTATCTCATGACTGTCTACTTTACTTAAGAGCATTTGGTGAGGGACCATTGCAAAGACATTCTGAAAGTCCAAGTACACTGTATCTATTGGATCACTCTGATCCACATTCCTTAAAGAATTCTAATAGATTGGTGAGGCATGAAAGGTGTGTTGAATCTTCCCCAGCATATTGTGTTCATCTATGTGTCTGATAATTCTGTTCTTTATTATAGTTTCAACCAATTTGCCTCATACTGAAGTTAGGGTTACCAGCCTATAATTACCATGATCGCCTCTAGAGCCTTTTTTAAAAATCAGTGTTACATTAGCTATCCACCAGTCATGTGGTTCAGAGGCTGATTTAAGTGTTAGGTTACATAACACAGACCTAAAAGTTGCAATATTACAACAAAAAAACTTCAAAAACAGACTCCAATGAGAGACTGCTGAATTGGAATTAATTTGCAAACTGGACACCATTAAATTATGCTTGAATAAAGACTGGGAGTGGATGTGTCATTACACAAAATAGAACTATTTCTCCCTCCGCCCCATTCCTCACACGTTCTTGTCAACTGCTGGAAATGGCCCATCTTGATTATCACTACAAAAGGTTTTTTTTTCTCTTCTGCTGGTAATAGCTCACCTTAACTGATCACTCTTGTTATAGCGTGTATGGTAACACTCATTGTTTCATGTCCTCTGTGTATATAAAATCGTCCTACCGTATTTTACACTGCATGCCTCCGATGAAGTGGGCTGTAGCCCACGAAAGCTTATGCTCAGATAAATTTGTTAGTCTCTAAGGTGCCACAAGTACTCCTGATCTTTTTGTGGATACAGACTAACATTGCTGCTACTCTGGAACATAACACAGTTAGTAGTTCTGCAATTTCATATTTGAGTTCCTTCAGAACTCTTGGGTGAATACCATCTGGTCCTGATGAGTTATTACTATTTAATTTGTCAGTTTGTTCCAAAACCTCCTCTATTAATACTTCAATCTGTGACAGTTGTTCAGATTTGTCACTTAAAAGATTGGCTCAAGTGTGGGAATCTCCCTCACATTCTTTTCAGTGAAGACTGATACAAAGTAAGTTTTGGCCTGCCTAATTACACATTTATACAGTACTTGACTTGCTAGAGTTTATATTCCTTTCTAATTTCCTCACTAAGATTTGACTTCCAATTTTTAAAAGATGTTTTTTGTCTCTAACCACCTTTTTTACTCTGTTGTTTAGCCATGAAGGCATTTTTTTTTGTCCACCCACAATTTTTTTATTTGGGATAACCTATAGTTTGAGCCTCTATTATCATGTGTTTAAAAAGTTTCCATGCAGCTTGTAGGCATTTCACTCTTGTGACTGTTCCTTTTAATTTCCATTTAACTATCCTCCTCATTTTTGTGTAGTTCCCCTTTTTGAAGTTAAATGCTAGTGTGGTGGGTTTCTTTGGTATTCCCCCTCCTCCCCCATAAGGATGTTAAATTAAATTACATTAGGGTCAGGATTACAGAGTGGTTCAGTTATATTCATCTCTTGGACAAGATCATGTGCACCACTTAGAACTAAATCAAGAATTACCCCCTGTGGATTCCGGGACTAGTTGCTCCAAGAAGCAATAATTAATGGTGTCTAGAAATTTTAACTCTGCATTGTGTTCTGAGGTGGCATGTGCCCCATCAGTATGGAGATAGTTGAAATTCCCCATTATTATTGGGTTTTCTGGTTTTGTAGCCTCTCTAATCCCCCAGAGCATTACACAATTACCATCACCATCCTGATCAGGTGATGTACTGTTCACACATATAATAATACATTAATAAAACTAATTAGCATTTTTCATGATAGAGCTCAAAGCCCTTTCTAAAGGTAGGTAAATATTATTAGCTCCACTTCACTAGAGCCCAACAGGCCCAGAATAAATTATTTTTGCTGAATGAAGCATATCTTAAAATCAAGAATGGATGTAATTATATTTTTCCAGTGCCATTTCAGTTTCGGCAATGGTTGATGGGGGCAGGTAACCAGGTGCTACAGGTTCATCTAGTTAATTTTTCTCCTCTGGAGAAATGTCATGTAAATGTTTTGCTTAGACTGCTCTTTTCCTGGTTATGGAGCTATTTATTTTAAATGATCACTTAGGCTTATTCACCAAATAAATATTCCCATATTTGTGCTTCTAACACTTCAGGCTAATGCACCTCTCCTTTTGCACGTGTTTCATATTGGACTAAACACTCGTTGTGTAAAACATTTCCAAATGGATACTAACATTGACTACAATGTTTTCTTATGCTCACTCAGCTGATTGCATTGTGTTCCAATTCCATTTGAGATAGACTTTAAATTCTGACATGCCGTGCACTTTATCGTCTTATTGCACCTTTACTTACAATAGTGGTTAGAGTTAATGCACCTCTGACTCTAGGTTGGCTCTTCACACCACTTGAAAAGCCCATGGTGGGGCTGTGCAGTGGAAACTGCAGACAAATGCTCTGTACCCTGCAGCCATGGATCCTGAACAGGCTATTGTGAAGTGGACTGGTGACAAGCCAGGGGTAGTGTGACAGGAGCCAGGGTCTTTAGGATCCAGTGGCCCAGAAAGTCTATGGAGGGATTGTGGAGAGGCAGTGACTGCTATTGCAGTCTGTGGAAAAGTGGCTACAGAGGGCCTAAAACTAATACTCCCAACCTGTGAACATGCCACAGGGCTGAGGTGAACTTTCACTGACCGAGTATATTTCTTTCGTGCCCTTTGTTCTGCTGCTGTGAGTTAATTAGCCTTTTCATAGGTTCACTGTAGGAAAATGAAGCCTAGGCCTCTTGACTAAAGAATTGTTTGTGGACATTAATCATAGAATCACAGAATATCAGGGTTGGAAGGGACCTCGGGAGGTCATCTAGTCTAACCCCCTGCTCAAAGCAGGACCAATCCCCAACTAAATCATCCCAGCCAGGGCTTTGTCAAGCCTGATCTTAAAAACCTCTAAGGAAGGAGATTTCACCACCTCCCTAGGTAACCCATTCCAGTGCTTCATCACCCTCCTAGTGAAAAAGGTTTCCCTAATATCGAACCCTAAACCTCCCCTACTGCAACTTGAGACCATTACTCCTCGTTTTGTCATCTGCTACCACTGAGAACAGTCTAGAACCATCCTCTTTCGAATCCTCTTTTCAGGTAGTTGAAAGCAGCTATCAAATCCCCCCTCATTCTTCTCTTCTGCAGACTAAATAATCCCAGTTCCTTCAGCCTCTCCTCATAAATCATGTGCTCCAGCCCCCTAATCATTTTTGTTGCCCTCCGCTGGACTCTTTCCAATTTTTCCACATCCTTCTTGTAGTGTGGGGCCTAAAACTGGACACAGTACTCCAGATGAGGCCTCACCAATCCCAAATAGAGTGGAATGATCACGTCCCTCAATCTGCCGGCAATGCTCCTACTTATACAGCCCAAAATGCCATTAGCCTTCTCGGCAACAACGGCACACTGTTGACTCATATCCAGCTTCTCGTCCACTGTAACCCCTAGGTCCTTTTCTGCAG